TTGTTATGATATGACGGACTTTTTTTGTTGACATTTTTGGTATTTTATTTGATTCCAATTTGAGATTTTATCATTGTATATTGTTATTCTTTCTATATTTTGTACTTATATTGAAGTTTTTGTGTTTGCTTCTGATCTGTATATATGTTGTTTAAATTTGATCTTTAATATGGCTACAGCCATATTTGGATTGATACGGTCGCTGTTGGACTTAACGTCACTTATTGTCGTTGTTTCGGATACTCTTCGGAGTAATTGTAACCTGGAAGGTGTATTAATTCCAGGTACTGCTTTGCATTTCCATGTTTTTATTAATAAAGACGCTTTCTCCTAGAATTTTTGCCTTCTCGGAAACTTGGACTGGGAGAAACGAGTTCAGGAGTGCACCTATTGGAACCCATTGGAACTGCCACCGTAGAAATCCATTTACAAAATATATACAACAATCATCACAAATCTTCTATATCATATTGATTTAGTAAAATGGCGAATTTATTCGCACTCTACTGACACCACTTAATTTGCATTGTATTGGTATTCTTCTCCAAGTTATTGATTGCGCTCATTACAATCAACTGTTTATTTACAAATTCCATTCAACTACATGAAAACTATCATCTCTAGCCCGAAACAATCATTCATTATAACGTTCCGTCATAATTATCACTTAAGCATATATGTACATATTGACCAACTAGAATTAAAGTAGTATATTCAAAGTGTAGTAAAAAAAATCAGACGGAACTTATAGAACTTTGCACATGATTGCATCTAATCTCATTGACATACTTTATTTGACAATATGTAAATGAAATTAGAAAAAAAACAAATTAATCTATAGTTGACCTCATTTAATTTTGAATAATTTTATAAAACTAACAAACCTAACTCAGTATTGGTCTTCATTTTTTTTGTTTTCATTTTCTTCTCGTTTCTCTACCTAAATTGTGGACATTTTTGAATGTTATTTTGATTTCTATCAATAACACTGGTAGTTATAGTGATGGGCAGACATAGAGTCTTGAAACATTTTTCAGAAGCCCTCTGTTCACCGATAAGTGACCTGTTTAGGTATTTGTTGAATCTCCTGCAAGTAATAGTGATCGAGGTGAGTTGAAAGACACTCATCGTCGTCGAAATGATCGTACATTACGCTCACATACTGCTACACAAGGTGAGAAGCATAAGAAACGACATGATGCTACTATTACTAAGAAGCGTAAACTTCGCTCACTTTCGGATGCTGTGACTAGCAATGGAGATGGTAGTCATCAGAATCGTAGTAGTGTCAGAGATAGTAAAGAGACAGAAAGTGTGCGCAGTCCAGCTACAGTGACTAGTCGATCAACTTCATCGAATGAACCTTCTGGTGTCTTGATGTCATCGAGCCTTGTCGCAAATGTTAAGTTGATTGAAGATACACAACGTTGTGTAACTGTAACTGTTCCTACTCCGGTTGTCTGTCAGTCGAGTATTGATGAGGAGGAAGCGTCTGATGGTAACAGCCAATCTACAGTGTTGCATGATAATGATGTTATTGATATGCTCATGTCTTTTGTCTCTGAAACGGAACGTGAAGAGCAACAAGTGAGTATATCAGTTTCGAATTGCGATACTAATGCTGTTCTTTCATGTAGTGATATGAGTTATACCACAATGGAAGAGTTCCACTCTACGGATGCTAGTGCAGACCGAATCGACGCGACTTGTCTGACAGAACGGAATCATGATGACGTTGATAATAATCTGGATGTCACTGATGTGACAAATGAGTTACCGACAATGACGAATGCTGATCAAACATCCTCTGTATCAGGAGATGGAGAGATAAATATTGTTCCTATGCTATGCCACTTAGAGTCTTCAGGAGACGAGGAGATGTCAAAATTGGAGATCCCACCCTTGCATATTATCCCTGGGTCAAGAACTTCTTTTGATAAGTCAGCATCATGGACTTCATTGTATCTGCCGATCGGAGCAAGTGGTGGTGGATTGATGACTCATCCCCATAATGTGGAAGATAAATCCAGAATAGGATATGACCAGCCTTACGAATTGTTATACATTTTCATGTGGGTTAACTGGATGAAGTTTAAACTACCTTTAGGTCATGCTACGATAGATAGAGAAATAAAGGACCTGATGGGAAGGTATAGGTACCTAGTTAGCTTGATAGGTCATATCCATGTTGGAGAGCGGGTAGGCGTACTGCTGTAAGTCCTACTCGTTCTTCCGGTGTGGATTAGGGGATGAGAGTGAACCCTAAGTTGAAGTGTCAGAAGGACTTGTTTTGCATGGAGGGATTTTGTGGGGCGGTGTAGAATCTATTTTGAAGGTTTTGTTTTTTGGAAAATCCATCCATGTATATATATTTGTGCTATGATCTGATTGACTCTTTCTGTTGATATTTTGGTGCTTTATTTGATTCCATTTTGAGATTTAATCATTGTATCTTGTTATTATTTCTATATCTTGTACTTATATTGAAGTTTTTGTGTTTGCTTCTGAACTGTACATATGTTGTTTAAATTTGATGTTTGATATGGCTACAGCCTTATTTGGATTTGATTCTTTAACAGTACGGACTGGAGGCACTTATTCTTCCAGAAACGGATACCCATCGCGGTAATTTGGAACTCGAAGGTGTAATATTTTTTGTTTGTTGTCTGTATTTCCCTTTTTGATTAAAAATAGAACCATTCTCTTCCAGAATTATCGCTTTTGGTCCTGGACTGGGTGGGACGCGTAAGAACCTACACCTTGCGGGTACAAGCGGACTGCAAGAGTAAATTATTATTTTACACTATTCACTGTAGTCACACCTACTCTCAGCTGAATGGAAACAAAGTGTTCTCTCTTCAATCTTCAAAGGAGAAGATAAGAATTACCCAGCCTGTTTCAGACCAGTTGCATTACCATCATTATTATCAAAGTTAATGGAAGGGCTGGTGAACTAACAAATGAGAGAGTACACGGACAGGAACAAAATCTCTTTGCATGGGACAGTTGGACATTTTGCTGGGACCGAAAAGGATTGGTGTACGTACTACTTCTTGACTTTACAAAGCCTTTCACACAGATCTCCAAGCACGCCTATTCGCGAAGATTGCGGATGTGGGCTTCATTGACCCACTCGTATCTTGGCTCAGAAACTACCTAGGGAATAGAAAGTTTCGTACCAAGGTGAATAGAGTGCACGATAGTTGGCAAGTATCTTCATCGGGAGTTTCACAGGGGGGCCTTAGGTTCACTTATTTTGCTGATACTTATTAACGACCTGTTAGGCACAGTTAGCCACACAGATGATGCGAAGATCTGAAGGTCCATCAGAAGCGAAGAGGATTCGACTGAGCTTCAAAACGACCTTGCATCCATCGAAAAATGGGCAGTAAAAAACGGTTTAAAACCAGCCTAAATGTCATGTCTTGTACATTCTGCCCCAAATGACGCAAACGATTTGCACCCTCAATGGAAGTCCGCTCCCTAATGTCTTCCCATTAGACGATCTCGGTTTAGTAACCACAGAAGCCTCTAAAGAAGCCCGAACTATATTGTGGACGCAGCCATTGTAAATGTGACTCTTCACTTTGTGCGCAGACCACTTGGTTCTATCACTCTACGATTAATTTTAAAACTATTTAGGACGTATGCAGGCCCACACCTGGAGGTTCACAACGTCATCGCACCCCCTCTGTTTAAAAGAGACATAAATCTCATGGATCTAGTTTAGAGACGAGCAACCAAATGGGTGATAGGGTTGAAAAATAAGCCTTACGATGATAGACTCAAGCACTTGGGATTATTTCCACTGAGCAACAGGAGAATCAGAGGTGATCTGATCATGGCGTACAACATATTAGGCATCACCATTACTCCCCTCGAGGCAATCCTCGAAAGATTGCGCATCAAAAAGTCAATACACATATTTATGCACACTTCGTCTCATTAGGAGTCGTTGCAACTTGGAATGTTCTCTCAGCCGAGGTGACCACAGTTCCCTCAGTAGACAGCTTTATGAAGTGACTTGATAAGCGCGTAATCACATACGGATTATCATCTTTCTCGTGGACAAGCTATGCCTGATGCATGTCTTGAGACCTGCTAGTTGTTATTATTGCCATCTCTTCAGATCATTAACCTAACCGATCTCTGTTTCCTCTCCCCTGCTTACACTTCGGTCCTCTCTCACAATCTTCACTACCAATCAATACACTATATTATCTAATTATTTACTTAGATCAGAGATTCTCTTCTTATTAACATCAGAATGTTCTCCCTGTTATTCTGCACATTGCGACTGACTGGTCTCCGGTCTGATAATGTGATAGCTGCTTGTATCCAGAAACCTTACTGCCCTGAAACAAAGGTTTTCATTTAAATCACGGGACATACAAACTCACAACCAACTGCTAACTGATCGAACGGCTAGATACGCATCCATCTAACTCTAACAAACACCTGTAACCGTAACGAAAAATAAAACAAGAATCGAGCGAAAAGAAATCAATTCGTTCATACTAGCTCGAGAAAAAGATATTGGATATTGAATACTATGAAAGTGGTCTGTTTGACTGTTTGCGGCACAAGAGCCAGTGATGGAGTTCCCTGAAAATGGCAGTTAGGTCAGAACTCAGCGAGCAGAAGTTAGGGTATATAAGGGAATTTGTAAATAACAGAGACCCGAAGGAGGAATATAAGTTGATCCAGAGCATTGGAACTGGTACATACGGCGAGGTTTACAAGGTATAATCTGCATAACAATTTATTCTTTCCAGGCTATTCGATTAAGGACAAAAGAATTCGCTGCTGTCAAAATAATTAAAGTTGATGCTAAAGATGATGTGCGCGCCATACTTCAGGAAATACAAACCCTCCGCGAATGTCGACACTGCAACATTGTACAGTTTTTCGGAAGCTATTTCAGGTATAGTATTCAACCTTATAATGAATGTAGAAATAACAAACTGTGGATATGTATGGAATTTTGTGGAGGATTCTCCATGCAGGATATTTACACAAGTAAGCGTTTTAATTTATAATTCACCACGAAAATTTAGATATACAGAGGCCTATTGAAGAAAATTGCATAGCTTTTGTATCTAGAGAAACATTACGAGGTATAGAATACATGCACAAGGCAGGAAAAATCCATCGGGATATTAAGGTAATTAACGTCTGATAATTGTTCTGGTATCGCTATCCAACATTTTTACTTGATCGTTTTGGACCTAATTTGTTTCCTACTGAGTTATATTTTATTTATCATGCTAATCTTGTCACATTAATGTCATGCTCTCATCAAACTAGACCCTCAATGTAAAATGGCCTTTCTTTTTAGCTGGTTCAAATGATCATTTGTTATCATTCCTTGAGACTCATATTCTCACGGTGATGATATTTCATACTGGTCTTGGTTGGCTTTGGCAGTTAATAATATTTTTACTCATTGCATTGTGAATGATAACAAGATGGATCAAGAACGTCGTCATTATTTCCAAAATGATTTTTGTTAACGCTTCTTGGGTCTCAGGATCACAGTCCAAATCTCAAACAATAATTTTCCGTTTATCTTATAATGTTTATAATGTATGCATTTAGTTTACTTTTTACACATCTCTTTTGTGGTATTCCGTTTGAATGTGCAGTATTTATTTATTTCAATTCTTTAGGGTGCAAATATTCTATTAACAAATGATGGTGACGTCAAAATTGGTAAGCCCATTTTTACTCTATGCTGGTTTTGTTTCAGAAATTTAAATATTAAACTAGTAATTGTAATGTCTAAATGAATATAAATTTCAATTCTGTACTTATTTCTCTCACTTGAAACCTGAGGGACTCTAATTTCACCGATTTAGCGGCACATATTTAGCACAATATGCTTGAAAGACTGTACTTGGATTGATCATAGTTTGTATATCCGGCTGTAACCCGTATTTAGTCACCAATTGCAAATCAGTAAATGGCAAAATAATTCATCGCTTCTCTTCTGTAGAGTTATGTTTATGTAGTGTATGGTATGTACCTAGTTCTGTTCGTTATCATTTAGCTGCATCAAGGAATTAGATACTTTTGTCCTTATATTTTTCACTTAATACTGTTCATTTATTTACAAGTTGTATTACCGTCAACTATATTTTCACAGTATGATTGGCTCACCTATGTAGTCTGTTTTTTTGGTTTCTTTTAAATACGCTAATAAAACAGTACTCAGGATTGAGTTTGGAACTTACATGAACTTGTACAGCAGCCACATAACTCATTTTCTGTAGTTGTATATCGTCTATGGTGATGATGTAATAGGGCGATTTCAGTAATTTACCCAGTCTCATCTTTCTCCCTATATCTGTAATTATGTAATTACCTTCTAATTTAAACACCAATAGTTGTTGGCCTTGGTTATCTAAAATCGTACTAGCCTCTGAAATTCACGGAATCTGATTACAGTGACTTATTGAGTTGGCGATTCGGCTAAATAAAAAAAAACTACCAACTTTAATTCTCGGAAATAACTAACCAAACCGTTTCTATTTGATAAATAATATCATTTGATTGCGAACTGTTGTAAAATTTTGTGTGTTTATAATGCGTTTTTTTACAATAGTAGCAGAATTATGTCATTTTAAATAATTTGTTTTTCACTACTTTCAGCTGATTTTGGTGTTGCAGCTCAAATTACGCAAACAATTCAACGACGAAATTCTTTCATTGGAACACCGTACTGGTAAGTATTTGTTAGTCCGCTTTTCTTTGATCGGATATATTTCAAATAATAGCTTTTTTTAAGGGTGAACTAGGGGATGTTTACTTTGTCTCTGTTATTCGAAATTCGGCTTATGTACATATATTCCAGATCCTATATTCTTGTAGCTATATTGTTTTTGTGGACTAAGGATGCTATCCAGTACTGAAATTAAAAGTAATTATAATCTGTGACCTGCTAGTCGAAGACTGATTGTCTGAAATGATAGTAATCGATGGTTAGATATCTTGAATGATACGATTCAGAACCGTTTACAATGGCACAGGTACATCCATTCTATGTGTTCTCTCAAATCCTAACCGTCTTGAATTCCTCATCACCTTAGTCGCTTTCTTTTTAAGTTTATTTCACTAGATTCTACTTCTTGAATAATATATTCGAGCCGTAATCTCTCCGATTACTGCTAATACTTTTACTGCCTCTATTACTATGGGATTTGAATTGACAATTGCCTCTTTGTGCTAATGTGGTATGACGTACGTACGAATTTCTACATTGTAACTGACTGTTGTTTCAAGATTGGTCTGCATTGGCCGCTTAACTAGTGATAGGGAGTATAGTAGTCGAGCGTGTTGACAGCTTCACTTATCTTCGGAGTCTCATCAGTGCTGATGGCCTGGTGACTGACGAAATCTCAGCACGGATACAGAATGCTCGATTGGCTTTTGCAACTTTACGTCATTTATGGTGTAGGTGAGATATCCGTTTGCTGACTAAAGGACGTGTGTACTGCGCAGTAGTTCGCTTCATTCTCCTATATGGATCCGGAAAATGGCCGGTAAGAGTAGAAGATATTCGTATGTTACTAGTATTCGATCACATGTCTTAGAAGCATTGCTCGTGTAGCTTGGGACTACCAAGAAAGCAATGTTGTTGTTAGGAAACGAGTACTAAGTAAAGACGGCAGAGCAATAGATGAAGTATTGAAACTTCATCAGTTGAGGTAGTTGGGACATGTGTTACGAATGCCCAACCACTGACTGCCTCAAGGAGCTATGTTTTGTGGTGTAGGAGTAAGTTGGGAGAAAGCTAGGGGCGGCCAGACCAAAACATGGAAGAAATCCATGAAGTCACTGAAGACAACTGGATTGAGTCATGTTAGTAAATGTAGGCTACGTGGTTGGGGTCCGCGAGACGAAAGTCACTGATAGTTAGAGACCTTGAATGACATGGCTGAGAATCGTTTGCAATGGCGCAGGTGCATCCACTCTTTGTGTTATCGCAAATCCTTATCTTCTCTATTACCAGTAATACTACTATCTCTATCACTATTGAATTTGAACTGACAATTACGTCTCTGTGGTAATGTGGTGTGGTAACCTGAACTGATGTACTTACGTACGAAGTTCTACTTTGTAACTGACTGACTGATTGTCTCAACCACCAAGATACTGGCCTATGTATCCTACATTGATTATGATCGACTGATTAGTTAGTCAACTTTCGCAATGTAAAACGACTATTCAAAAATTGTTGAGTTTCTGTTGGAATAGCCGAAATTGAATGCTTTAAGCTACCAGTAATCAAGTCCTATATGTTCTTCAGCATATCTCTAGAAGACTAAGGTATTAATAAATAGAATGTTAAAGGAGTTCAGTGACTAAGTAAAATTACCAGGCTTTGAGTTGCACTTATTGTATGCAATCCGCTATTGCTAACCGACTCCACTATCGGAGTTAAGGTCACTTTTCAAACAACTAACTTAGAGATTGAAATCGCTAATGATTTGAGTCGTACTTACACGATTCAGTTTGGTCATCTAGTTCTTTTGCTAGAATTGCTGGCAAAAATAATTTATGCTTTATAAATTACTTATCTACGCAATCGTATAGAAATATATGATATTAGACGTGAAAGGAATGTTAGATTCTGTATTAATAACACTGATTAATTATCCCATTACACTGGACGTAATACGGTTAGTTTATGTTGCTCAAGTAATTCTGTTTTATACACTTCACAATCTTAACGAACTGTGTTTTTCAAGAAACACCCTTCCACGGTCCGGGAAGCCCGGAGATGACATCCACCCTCATATCCGTAGCAGCGCATGAAACCGAATCGGTCATAATCAAATCCTTCCTTTACCTATTTGTAGCTCTCTTATCTCCTTGACAAACCTTTCTCACATTCCTTTATCACTTCACACAGCTGATGCTAAAGATTCGAGTACACGAAACGTTATTCCTGGTCTCCTAAAACCATGCTCTAAACTACATGTTGGAACTTTTAATACCCGGACCTTGTGCTGTATAGGACAACAGGCTTCCTTAGCAAGGACTCTGAAATCTCGTGCTACCGATGAATGTTGCATTTCTGAGACGCGCATTCAGTATCCGGGCAGAATCATTCGTTTGACCTCACTATGTCATAATAAAGAAGCAACTCGATTTACACCTCGTGTATCTGGAACTCCCACTGCTTCTTTCGGTGGCCTTGCTGCTGTAGCTATAGCAGCAAGTTCTGAAGCAGAAGTAGTCCTCTTAGAATGGATCCCAGTAGACAGTCGATTGTGTGCTGTCCGACTAAATGGGACTGTAAAGACTTGGAAAGACAGGGACACTCGCCGTTGCTACTTCGTTGTCTCTACCGACGCTCCCACTGACTGTAACTCAAATGATGTAAAAGGTGAATTTTACAGAAAGTTTTTTGACGTCCTTCAAAAAGTTGTGCTCTGATGTGGTAACAGTGAAAGTTGACTAATGCTCAAATAAATAGACTAAGCGACAAGGAAAGATACGTGGGTGAATCTTACGGTGTAACAGCTGGTTGAAGTGATAATGGCGACCTCTGCTGCAACTGTGCTCAGGTAACCGCCTGTTTCTGACTAATACTAAATTAAGGCTTAAATAACAACATCTTTTGACATGGCAACCTTCAAGGTCAATCGAAGCTGGACCCATCTAGACCACATTGCTATTAGCCACCGATGAAAAGGCTCGATAAAAGACTGCAGCTCGCTCTGGAGCACATGCTTAGATTCAGATCACACTCTAGTTCAAGCACGTATTTGTCTATGGCTTACTGTACGCAAAAGGTCTACTTAACGATAGCAGAGCCATGAGAATATTTTAAGAGAAACCAGAAAAACGCTTTGACAGCCATGTAAGTGATGTTCACATCGAGGCAACTTGGAATGATATCCAAAAAGCTGTGGAAAGAGCAGTGATATCTGTCTGTAAGGTAAACCATAAGGTTAGGGAGAAGCAATTGATTTCTTCAGCATCTACTGAACTTATAGATGCTCGAAAATTCATCCTGTCTAGATCTGAACATGTTCAAGAGTGATGTCAGCTTAAGCGCAAGCTGATAAGAGTAGGAAGGAGGTTGGAAGAAACCTGGGGGTGGCCAAACCAAAGCATTGCACAAATCCCTGAAGTCACAAACAACTAGATTGAGTCATGTTGGTAAATGTCGACTACCTGGTTGGGGCTTGCGAGATAATAGTAATTAATGGTTGGAGACCTTGTTTGACATGGCTCAAAACCGTTTGAAATGACGCAGGTGCATCCACTCATTGTGTTCTCTGAAATTTTGATCTTCTGAATTCTTCATCATTTCTATCTTTCTCTTCCTAAAGTTATCTCAGTAAACTATACTTCTCGAATCATATATTCGAACCCTAATCTTCTCAATTACTGCTAATACTTCTACTATCTCTATCACTATTGGATTTGAACTGACAATTACGTCTCTGTGGTAATGTGGTGTGGTAACCTGAACTGTTGTACGTACGTACGTACGAAGTTCTACTTTTAGAATTATGACAATGTGACCACTGAAATTTCTTTTGCCATTATACGTGAAACCGTCTATAGTTTTCGTCATAAACTTGTTTGATACATCGCTTGTAGGAAATGGACAATTGGATATGTATGCTGCGAACTCAAATAAATATTGATCGGTTGCATTTAAAGATGGAATGATTTCTTGTTTTTTTTTTGAAAATGTCGCTTGTAACTACTTTGATGACTAAGCATGAATAGAGACATGAACTGTATGACTTAGTTTACACAGATGAAAGACAATTCACACTAATTATTACATGAATCTATTTGAAGCATAAGCCCACATAGACTGACTATCGAATAAATCATAAAGTAAATTGTAATTATGTAATTACTAACCGAACATACGGATTTTATAAAGCAAACTAGTGCACGTATTGCTTTTTTTTTAATCTCTACTGGTATTTTTTTTTATAGGATGGCTCCTGAAGTTGCAGCTGTTGAACGTAAAGGTGGTTATGATGAAAAATGTGATGTATGGGCGTTAGGAATTACTGCTATTGAATATGCTGAACTACAACCTCCATTGTTTGATCTACATCCAATGAGGTTTGTTTTATTTTCTGATTTATTTATCTTATATGTATGTGTAGTAATACATTTCTATTCGTACTGCTATATAACCATCACAGATTCATTATTTTTTTTTAAATGGTACCGATTAAGATAATCTTTTTTTTGTGTGTGTTTTAATGGGTTTTTTTTATGTTTTATGTTTTTGAAAAAGAAACGTACAAGTTGTTTGAATTACAGTTTATCATGATTATGAGTTATGTTGGTAGATGTAGACTAGCTGGTTGGGGTCCGCGAGACGAAAGTCACCAATGGTTAGAGACCTTGAACTATATGGCTGTGAATCGTTTGTAATGGCGTAGGTGCATTCATTCATTGTGTTCTCCGAAATTCTAACCCTCTAATCTTCTTCTAAATTTATCTCACTGAATTCTACTTTTTGAATCATATCTTCGCTCCCTACTCTTCTCCATTGCTGCTAATCATTCTACTATCGCTATCACTCTTGGATTTGAACTGACAGTTGCATCTGTGTGCTAATGTGGTATGGCAACCTGAACTGATGTACATACGTACGAAGTTCTGTGTTGTATCTGTCTGTGTGTGCTAATGTGATATGACAAGCTGAACTGGTGTACGCAGGTACATACGTACGAAGTTCTACGTTTTAACTAACTAACTAACTGACTGACCTACTGATTATGATTATTCTTAGTTCACTTACTCTTTTAATGATTTTATCGTTTCTACTTACAGAAATACATCAGCCAAATTTGTCTATGCGTAATTCAGTTGTTAAATGAATTTGATTTTTAGTTAGTATGGTGTTAATCATTAAATTGCCTTATTGAAGATTTACTATTCACATTAATTGGTGTATGAGGATTGTCAATGTACACAGTCAGTCAGTTGCAACGTAGAACTTCGTACGTATGTACATCAGTTCAGGTTGCCATACCACATTAGCACAGAGACGCAGATGTCAAATCAAATCCCATAGTGATAAAGATAGTAGAGGTATTATTGATAATGAAGAAGACTAGGGTTCGAAAATATTATTCAATAAGTATAATTAAGTGAAATAAGGTTAGAAAGACAAAGGTACAGGTGCTGACGATTCCAGAAGATTAGGATTTGAGAGAGCTCAAAGAATGGATGCACTTGCGCCATTGCAAACGATTTTGAGCCATGTCGTTCAAGGTCTCTAACCATTGGAACACAAAAAAGGAGGAAAATTGTTTGTTTGTTTGTGTTGATTGATCATGAAAGTTCTATTTAGCAAATATTGCTTTGTATCACTTATCCTTGTCATTTTATATTTGACAATTTCCACAAATACCGAAGTGGTAATTTGAGTAATTGGTGATAATTTAT